ACGCCGGCCTGGCCCTCGCGGAGGAGATGGCCAACTCGATGGGGGTGCGGCGTCTCCGCGGCGGGGGGGTGCCGTCAGGCGGGGTGCCCGCCATGTCGCCGCCGATGACCATGTCAGGAGCGTGCTCGGTCCTCTCTGGCGGCATCGAGTCCACGCCAACGGGGGGGGCGGGAGATGGCGAGACTGACTCTCCGCACACGCCCATGCTCTACAGCAAGGGCACCTTGTCGGCGACGACGATCAACGTCATGGCGGAGCGACGTGCTGCGAGGAGCGCTGTGAGCGGGGTGCCGTCCGCCCTGTCGGCCATCGGCCGACTCCAGGCAGCGGCGGTGAACACCTGCAGCATCGATGCTGACGATTCGGCGAGCCAGGCCCCCACTGCAGGGGGCCCCGCTGTGGGCAAGGGGGACCAGTGGATTGCGAAGCTCCCGTTGTCGAAGGTGCTCACTGCTGGGAAGTTGGGCGTCCAAGCGCACCACGCCGCTGGAGAGTTGAAAAGGCTGAAGGACAAGGATAAGGACCAGTGGAACAGACTCACCCTGCACATGACGAAGTACGAGCTCGCGAACAAGCTTCACGCGACCAACATCTTCAGCGCCTCGGCTGGCGATGTCAAGGACGCCTTCGAGCGCCTGCGCCAGTCCATCGATGTCCCGCCCGTCGTCAAGAAGAACATGTGCAAGAAGATGTTCCAGGAACGCATGACAGTCGAGCTCCAGTCCATGACCGACGTCACCTTCTTCTTTGAGATGGTGCGGCCATGGCCCACATCCCCTCAGGAAGCGGGCCTCACCTTCACTGCGGATTCGCCGAAGCTCCACTTCATTGACCTCGAGATGGCCGAGAAGATCCGCATGTTCAACCAGAGTTTCATCAGCGGCGTGTACACTGCACTGATCGAGGGAGGCCACAAGAAGAAGGATATGCTCGTGGCGATTTCTTCTCGGATGGCTTCGCTGATGGACGATCTGCTGGCCGACACAGAGGAGTTCTGCGAGGACGCGTCGCACTTCTTGGGCGCGCTGGGCTCCATGGCGGGCGGCGTCGCCAAGATCTGCGCCCCGACCAGCCCGTGGAAGGCGGACGACATCGACGCCGTCTACAGCGACATCCTCTCCCTCGACCCCAACCGCGGGGGCGTCTTCAGCGGGCTGGAGGGGGTGGCGATCGCCATCGGCGCGTGCGCCGAGTACAACAAGACGTGGACGACCCTGATGAAGGACAAAGTCATGGTCATGGAGCTCGCCCCCCAGGTTTCAGCATCCATGTCCGCCCTCTTGTCGGTGGCGCGCAGCCCCCTGGACTTCGACGGGGCGGTTGCTGCGGCCACCGCGGCGTTGAGCACCATCCCGAAAGTCGCGTGCTCCCTGGGCGACGAGCTCGCGACCCCCGTCGTCAAGGAGGTGAAGGCCGTGCTGAAAGATTTGTCGGCCAGCGTCGCCTCAGCCACGTCGACGGGGTCATTGGCGCAGACGCAGCAGAGCACATTCATCCAGCTGTTGGGCAAGGCGGTCGACGCCATGCCGTCGGACGTCGAGCTTCTGAAGATGAATACGGATATGGACGAAGCCGACGCCTCCATGGCCCGCGATGCCATCAGGGCCCAGTTGACCACGCTGGTCAACGACATATTCGCTGACACGGCGACCGCGGTCAACCTTCGCGACGACTTGCGCCTTATCATGGACAAGATGACAAAGGACGACTTGGATTCGACGATGACTGCGAAGCTCGGCGAGTGCGCCTGCGTCCTCATCAAGAAGATCTTGACGGTGCCCGAGGGGAGCAAGGAGATGGCGGACGCCGCGATGCAGGCAGCGCACCACTTGCACGACTTCCTGCCGAGCACGGCCACGAAGGGACAGCAGCGGAGCTTGGAGGCATCGAGCGCATGTCGGTCGCTGAGGCCGACCACGGAGACGATCGTCCAGAAGTTTTTCGACGATGAGAAGAAGCTCATCGCGGAGCAGGTGGATCTCGGGGGACCGCAGCTTGCCCTCCTGCGCGTCCTCCTGGAGAAGCTGGACGCCTACATCAAGGACGAGGCCGACTCGGACATCAGCTTGCACGAGCACATGAAGGCGCAGATCCACCAGTACGTGGAGGACGCGAGGCGCGTGGTGAAGACGGTGGGCCAGCACGCCGTCGACGTGGCATCGGCCGAGGCCCAGACGACAGCGGCGAAGATCGAGCCCTGCATGCACGGCCTCCCCGACGGCGCGGACTGGTTGAGCGCTGGCCCAGCCAACCTCCACGTGTGGAAAAACTTGGCGGTCCACGCCGACAGTACGATCTTGTCCACGGAGATGAGCAAGACCATCGCCCCCTTGAAGAAGAATGTGGACGCTGCCGAGAAGGCGGCTGTGTGCCCCCCCAGTTATGTTGGTGCAAACGTGCTCGGGCTCACGCCCGACGTATCTTTGCGTTTGTTTCTTAAGTTGTTCAGCGGGTCGCAGATGGGTTTCGAGGGGGAAGGTGAAAGAAGGAAAGCCGCGCACCAGTTAGCTTAAGATACCGCTGCATGGCCTTCCCTCCTTCACCTCCCTCTTGGAAGGCGCTGGCCCGCTGGAAGTCCGAGGGTGAGAAATGCGGATTGCGCATCGAGGGGGATCAGAACTACCAGAAGGTGTCAGAGATCATCACCAACGCGTGGGTGACTCTTGTGACAGGCAGTTTGTTCATGGCTTTTAAGAAAGCGACTGACAAGCAGTTGCTGAGGGCTACGATCGTAAAGACGACGAGTGCCCTCAAGGAGCGTGGCATTTCGCAGGACCGTTTGCATCCAACCCTGTTGGCGCGGGTGCAGCTGGCCATGCAATTCAAAATTAATGTGTAGTTAGGTTTCCTGGGGCCGAGTGGTGCGGTGAAACGAGCTGCCATTTTGGCGTTCGGCACGCAGCGAGCGCACGCAGACGCCGCGCGTGCATGTCAGCACGGGTGCTGGGTGCGCGTGTAGAAAACACTGCAGCACCCTCTCCCGCAGCGTGCAAGCACGCAGCACGACAGAGAGGTACACACACACCACACACACACACGCACGCACAAGCTCGGCCCAGGTCCCAGCCCGCAGACAGCATGCGGGCTGACAGTTGCGAGTTGCGAGTCGGTCCGCATCGGGGCCTGACTGGACTCAGTCAGGACGCGGTATCTCCAGCTCTCTAGGCCAGAGGAGAAAAACACGTGTGGCGGGGGTGCGTATTTCTCTTCCCCACTCTTCCGCCCACCCCACCCCCCCGACCCCCCACCGGCCTAACCCCTGCCCCCCGCCCCCCGCCCCCGCGGATCTCGAGCCGTCGCCACCTGCCCCCCCTCCGCGCCCGACAGAGCCAGAGGGGCCCGACGGGCCGACGGGGTGCCCCCGCGGCTGCGTCCGACGCCCCTGGCGTCGTCAGAGGGCGAAGTCAGCCGCGTCGAGGCGGCGGGGGAGGGGGGGGCGGAGGAGGAGGAGGAGAAGGAGGCGGAGGAGTGGAACAGAGACGGAAGGGAGGAGAAGGAAGGATGGTGGAATGAGAAAATGGAGCAAGGCGTGATGACGGCGGGGCCTCTCCTTTTCCCTTCTCCCGCCTCCCTTCGCCCGCCCCGCCCCCCTCTCCCTTTTCCCTCCTCACCCCTTCCCTCACCCCTCTCCCCTTCGCCCTCATGTCCCTCCCCTTCCCCATCCCCATCCCTCTTCCTCCTCCCCCTTTTGCTCCTCCCCCTCCTCATCCTCTCCCGCTCCTCACCTTTCTCTTCCCCCAACTTTGCTTACCCTGGGGCCCGTGCGCTCCGTTTTCTTGTTCATTATTGGCAGCGTTGCGCTTCTTCCCCTCCGAGGCCCCACGATATTTCCCCTTATGCTCCTTCCTCGAGGCCTTTCTGGCTTTCCTGTCCGCCTCCTTGTCATTGTTACAATGTACGATGGCAAGGAGGTGATGTTTTTGTTCGTTGAGTTCTTTGCATCGGTCTGAGAGCCATTAGTTCTTGTTCTCCATCTCGTGTGTTTTCATCGTGAGTTGGCACGCGACCTTAGCCCCCCCGCCTCCTCCCCCCCCTCCCTCCCCCCTCCTCTCCCCCCCCCTTCTCCCCCCCTCTTGCCTCCTGCTTCCCGCCCCGCCCGCGGCCACCCGAGGGGACAGGCCGCCACGGGCGGCCCGAGGGCGCCGCCGCGCCAGCGGGGGGGGGCACCCGAGCGGCCGTCGCCGCCGTCGTCGCCGCCGCCGTCGCCGCCGCCGAACCCCCCCTCTTACTCCCCACCCCCTCTCATTCCGAGTGGGCCGACGCTTTTTCCCGCCAGGAGCCCGCGGTGCGAAGGTGCCTAAGGCGAGAGCGCGTTTCCGAAAACCAGCGCGTGTCCGAGTGGGCCCTCGGGCCGCAGGCAACCGCTGCCGCTGGCGCCTTCGGTGGAGCTCTCTATGAAGGCGCGGAACGTGTGAGCGCGCCGAAGTGGACCCTCGGACCGAATGCGACCGCTGGCAATGGGGCCTCCGATGGAACTCCCTATGGGGCTCCGCCGCTATGCCCTCGCACCCCCCCTCCCCAGACCACCCCGCTGCCCCCGCCCCTCCCTCCTCATCCATCCCCCTCCACTCCGTCCGTGGCCATTTTGGCTCAAGGCCGCCTGGCTCCAAAGCGGCCTGCGCGTGGCCCGACCGCGAGCTCGCGTCCGTGGGTGCCCCCCCTTGCGCAGGTTCTTGCGCCTCGCGTTGGCTTCCTGATGTGCCGCGCGTGGGTTCGGCAGCGCGCGGCACGGGTGCTCTGCCCCCAGCCCACCGCCCACTCGGCGGGGCGGGTTTGCGAAATTGCGCGCGGCGTGGCAGCGCCGAGTGTCGCCTGAGCGGCCTGCGCTTTTTTTTTTTGCGCGACAGTGTCGCCGCGACACTGTTTTGAGACTCCTGAGCGCCGCGGCCTGCAGACTGTTTTGACACTCTTGACTACACTTTCCAGCAAAACCTCCATATCCCTCCTGGAGGAGGCCGCTGCCATCATAACCAGAGAAGTACACTTGTTCCCCGCCCCAGCTCCTTCTCTCCTCCTCTTCTCCTCCTCCTTCTCCTCCTCCTTTTCCGTCCCCTCCCGCATGGCTATCATCGCGCCGTCACTCCCCCCGAACCGGCGTGCGAGTGGATTTATCCGGAGCAGCTCGCGAGGATGAAACAGACAGCGCGACGCGAACAGAGGAGGGGTTCTGGTGTGGTGCGGTTCAGCCTTTCTGCAGTTGAGGGGACTCGGTTGCACATGTCGACCCGGCTCCAGGAGGCGCTGCCCTTCGGATGACGGGCTTGGTATCGTCCGCGGTTTTGGCGGATGGAGACGCTGGGGAAGAGGAGGGCCCCACGTGGCTGAATTGGATTGCGTTTTCTCCTGCCTTCTCCGCCGTTTCCTTCCCCTCACTTTCCCTATGCCTCTCCCCCTGCTCTTGAAGTGCTGGAATGTACTCGAGGTTGGCTGCCAGAAGATATCAGTTGCCGTGCTCGCTTGCAGCAGTTTGTTTGTTTACGCAGTATTGCGTGAATCAGTTTGTTTCGACAGATTGCCGGGAATATCTGCCTCATGATGGCAGGAGGAGGGGGAGGAGGCAGGAGGGAAAGGGGCAAGCAGAAAGAGCAGGGCGAATCGGAGGACGAGAAGACGTGATGGTGGCGCGGTGTTGTGGGGTGCAGTGGCAGCCTATGTGAGATGCCGCCCCCACGTGGAAGTGCCGTGCTCCGTGTCGGTCGTGCCGTGCGCGCGGAGCTCTGGTCCCGGGTGGCCAGCTGTTGCCCTTTACATGCGTAAGTGTTCGAAGGGCCCCGCGGATTTCTTGTGGTGGCGTTGGCCCCCTGGCGGCGCCCGCGGCGCCGCGCCCGCTGCGCCCCGCGCGCCTGGGAAGGAAGTCCAGCGCCAGTCCAGAGAAATTTTCGCTGATCTCAGAGATTTCATGTTTTTCGTTTTTTGTTTGCTTGTTCAAATTTACCCATGCTGCTCCCACCAGGCGACGCTGCGGGTTGTTCTGACGATGTTTGTTCGTATTGTCCCAGTTCGCCAGCTGGCGGGATGCGGCATCCTGGTATCCCGATCATGTTACGATCGATTCATCGTCGTGGCTTGTGAGAGATACATATCTTGCGCATTCTCTGCACCATTTTTTTGATGGGGCGCTTCCGAAGATATTGTGTGACAGTCATATGATGGTAATACGTATTGAATCGCATGACGTCTCGAGGGTGGCTCGATGGTTTCCCGATTGTGAAGTGGGTGCACATCAGACGTGTGTCATATGTGAGATAGGTAAACATGAGTCAAATGTGAGCCGCGTTCGCATCGCACGGTGCCTCGCATTGTATTCCACATGGTGCCTGGCATTGTGTCACGCATGGTATCCTGTTCATGCCCCGACAGTGAAACGAACGCTAAACCATTACGTCAAATAACCCGGGCACGAACAACCATGTGAACCACAATGGTGAGTCAGCATCGGCTAATTTGAAGGTCAAGTGTGAATCGAAGGATTTCCCTGTGGTGCCCCGTTGGTGTCTTTAACGTGTATTGGTGCTGGTCAGAATGCGGGCTAAACCTTCACTCGTGGGTGAATCATAGATTAGTTATTTGCGAGCGGTCGGGTCCATTCGCGAATGTTATGTGCTTTCAACATATGAGCATCAGGCAAATCAGGCGTCCTAGGAATTTGCATTAAACCTTGGCCTATTATGAACCAGCTGTGCGAATCACTTGTTAGGCCTTAGAGCGGAGCAAGCGTGGCCTGCTTTCGAGTCGAGTGCGGAACAAACAAGAAGTTGTACACAGGTGAGTGTTGACCAATTGTGCGTCAATCGTGAAAGACGGGGTGGCAGGATGGCGAGGTCGCGCTGTGTCCTGACATCTATTTGCGAACCAGCGGTGGCACGCGAATCAGTGTGAGTACGACGAGCTGCTTCCCAAAAAGTGCCCGCACTTCGGGGCTTGTAGCCGCGCGTGTACCAACGGTAAGCTTCATTTTCATCACGTGAACATCGGCGTGGAATTGCGAACCGAAGGATATGTGAATTAGGTTTAAAGTGATTCATCGGCGCTTTGGATATGAAGCGCCCGTCCTGGCCTTCTTGTCGGCCTTCCTCCTCCTCCTGCTCGGCACCCTCTCCCGCCTGTTCTCCTCTCCTGTTCCCTCCTCTTCCTCCCCCGTCGCGCGTGCCACCTTGCCGCTTCAAACTCTGCATCCGCCTCCGCCGCCGCACCCTCCTGATCCCTTTTGATTGTTGTCCTGTTCTTCATTGGCCTGCCAGTTAGAAACCAGATCTGCCCAGGTTCCGCTCTCCCGATCTTCCCTCCCGTTTTCGTGCACGAGGGCCACCCTGAGTATGCGCCCTCGAGGCTAAATGGGTTGCGGATGGACGTGCGATGCACCCACGTGGGGGTGCAACGCGTGCAGCACTTTAAGCCTGAGCGCACCCCCCCTAGCGCAGAGCCGAGCCGAGCCCATCCTCGTTATCACTCTCCTTGTCGTCCGCGGCACAGGTGGACGTACTCGAGCACCCCCTGCTCCCCCAGGACCCGCGGCGTTGGCAGCGGAAGCCGAACAGCGAGCTCCGGTGTCTCGGGGGCCGTCGGCGCGGCAATGAGCACGAGGGGGAGGTGGGCGACGATGGAAAGGAGTGGGTGGAGGATGAGTCGGGCGAGTGCAAGTTGGAGGAGGACGGAGGAGGACAGCAAGAGGACGAGGAGGAAGAGCGAGGACGAGGATGATGTGGGAGGAAGGGCATCCGCAAAACGTAGCGGTGTGCGAGGCGATAAATGAGTAACTGGCACGGTGTTGGCAGGAAGAAGCAAGGCGGAGGGCGCTCGGAGGACGGGTGAAGGAGGATGGGGGGAGGAGGAGGAGGAGGGGAGGAGGAGGAGGAGGAGGAGGAGGAGGAGGAGGAGGAGGTGGAGGAGGAGAAGAGACGAGGAGGACACGAGGAGGAGGAGGAGGAGGAGGAGGAGGAGGAGAGACGAGGAGGAGAGAGGAAGAGAAGGAGGACGAGGAGGAGGAGGAGGAGGAGGAGGGAGAGGGAGGAGGAAGAGAACCAGTTCAAGAGGAGGGAGCAAACGGCATTGACTGAAGGAGGTCAGGGGGGAGGAGAGACCAAGGCAGGGGGGGGGAAGGAGGAGGAGGAGGCGGAGGAGGAGGAAAAAGAGGAGGAGGAGGGAAACGAGGGGTTGGAGGGGCAAATCGGGACGGAGGACAGCAGTCAAGGCACCGCAAACTTGGATTACGGCTGCGTGGATTGGTGACGGGCCCCGCTTCCATACCGACACCCACGCGCTCCGTCACCGGGTGGGGCGGCCCTGGCTCCATGTCTCGGGAGGGGCCTTTCCCGATCCACAGGTCCGGCGACCGCGGGCCAGATCCATACATCATGCGGGGACGGCGCCGCGGGACGGGCCCGGCTGCCGCGGGCACGTCGGCGCCCACGGAAGCCCAGCATTTTATATGTCGGATATTCATATCCTAGTTAGATATTGCTTATGTGGGATATGTTTGTTTATGCATGTGTCTATGTATGTTTCTGTATATATATACATATATATATATACATCGTGGTGGGAAACAGGGGCTGCTAATTCAAAGCCAGCCGGTAAGACGATAACACGATACAAGACGATAATACGATAAGACGGTAATGCAATATAGGATCTTGCCAGACGATAAGACGGTAAGACGATATAGGGCCTCGCCAGACGATAAGACGATAGTAGGATAAGGTGATAATGCTTATCGTATGATCGTCTTCTCGCATTATCGTCTTACCGTCTTACCGCTCAACGCTACACTTACCACCCTATTTCTGGACAGGCGAGACCGCAAGCACGCCAGGACGGCCGTCATAAATAATCAGGCCGGCATCATCGCGGCAAGGAAGAAACATGTGAACGCTCAGAAACACGAGAGGCACCCAGCCGCAGTGATCGATGCGGTTTTGCGCGACGCGCCCTGATCGCTACCAGCGCCCGGGGCGATTGGTTATGGCATTTTTCGCCCTGAAGCCGTAGACAGAAAATCTGCGACGACGTTGGCGATAGTCGGGGTCGGCGTCGTCGTCGTCGCGGTCGTCGCAGTCGTTGCCGTCGACGTCGTTGCCGTCGTTGTCGTCGACGCCGTCGTGGCGGATTTTCTGGCGACGGCGCCGCGGCCAGGAGCGCCAGAAAGTCGCCACTTCGGGTATAGGAGTCTTCGCGGGCAGTCCTGGCAACTTCAGCCGCTCGCGGGCCGTTCGTGGCGCGTGGCGCCTGCGCGATTGCCTGGCATTTCGCTCGCTCGCGACACCTGTGCCCGCGTCATAGCTAGCGACGCGCCCTGACCGCCACCGGCGCCCGGGGCGATTTGTCCTAGCACTGTTCGCCGCGAGGCCGCAGCCAGCAAAATCTGCGACGACGTCGGCGACAGTCGGGGTCGGCGTCGTCGTCGTCGTTGCCGTTGTCGCCGTCGGCGTCGTCGCGATCGTCGCTGTCGTCGCCGTCGTTGTCGATGCCGTCGTTGTCGTTGCCGGCGACGTCGTCGTCGACGCCGTCGCCGCGGATTTTCTGGCGACTGCGCCGCGGCCAGGAGTGCCAGAAAATCTGTCTCTGCTTGTCGCGCCCCTTTGCACCTGTAGCCCGCGGGCAACGAAAACCTCCCTCCCCCCTCGGCCCCCCCCCCCGAGTCCGGGCCCAGCCGGCGACAGGAAACTGGCAGAGTCCCGCATCGTTCCTTCGGAGCGAGGACGACGACGAGGACGACGAGGGCGACGGCGCTGGCGACGACGACGACGACGCCTGCGACGGCAACGACGACGACGGCCGCGGCGGCGGCGGCTGCGGGGGCGACGAAGACGACGAAACCGCCCGCGGACGGATTGCGCATGGCTTTACCTCCGCTCGGTCGGGGCTATCCCGGACGTTGTCGTCGTCGTCGTTGCCGTCGTCGCCGTCGGATCGGAGGTTGTCCGTCGTTGTCGTCGAAGCCGCCGCCGCCCCCGTCGCCACCGCCGCCTTCGCTTCGAGGTGCGCGGATCGAGGTTCGAGGTTCGAGGCGTTGGAAAGTTTTGGCCTTCTGCAGGCCGCCGGGGTCTTCCGGAGGCCCCCGGCATACACGTCGCGCGAGTGGTGAGCGCGAGCGGGTAAAGGTTTGGAGGAGGAGGTCGCCCCGGCCCCCCCCCGG